TTAAAGTGACAGCACTTTCTTAAAGTTAATTAAACAGCAACAACACGGAAATCACTCACTGCTCTCGATTGAATAACTTTTGTAACTTTAATAAGGAATAATTTTTAATTCATACAGTTAAATATGCAATGTAGCTTTACATTTGATTACTTTATTCAATTTCTGTACCTAAAAACTGTTAGACCTACCTAAAAAACCTGAAAAGCACTGTTTATTTTATTTGTATCTTTGCTTTATTGCATTTATTTGTGCTGTTACTTGTAGTTAGATTATTTGTTCTTATTTTCTTTATTTTTATTTGACAATATAGTTTTTTCCCTAAACATAGCACATACCGAACTGTACCGAAACCGGGACTCTAAAACCGTGATACAAACCGAACCATGAGTAAGTTGAACCGTTGCACCCCTAATAGTAACTGAGCATCTGATTGGCTGAAGATTTTGAAATGATCCAATCACAGCCCATTTCTCAAATTGAAAATGGCTGTATATGTGCTAAAGATGCTTTAATGTGTCCTTCAGTCTCTCTGTCCCCCTCAGCTCATCCCGCTCTCAGTCCAGTCGTCTTTTTCCCTCCGTTCTCCCCTGAGTGTGATAATAACCACTGCTGGAGGGGTAGATGGGGGAGGAGGTGGATGGAGATGCCCCTGCACCCCTGCGGTGGTTTATCAGCCCGAGTGTGTCAGCACTGCAGGAGGACAAACCTGTCAGAGCTGAAAGGGTGAGAGAAGGAGGGAGGTTGAAGGAGAGAGGTGTCAGCGTGTGACTGATTGCAGCCCTCCATTCACAAGGCTATAGCCCCCTCCTCACCATCAGCCCCGTCTCTGCACACAAATCTCTTCACTCACACTAAAACACACAAGTGCTTTCAGCATTGCTATTCAGAGGTGGAGCTGTGCAGCTACTAGAAAATGTCCAAAAGTACAAAGATTGGACAATTGACTAGTTAATCTTAATGAAGGTCTCCATTTCCAAAACATTCATTATCCAGTCATCTATAAAACTGGCCTCAAATCAGTAGTATATTAAATAGATTCAACTTAAAACCCATTTTACTTGCAAAATGGCACGTTTCCAATCAACATATACAATAATCAACTATTTAATAATATTGAGTTTCATTTGCACCATCGAAAATTTTTTCGGCAGAACCCCTCACCTAAATCTTGCAGTTACAAGTGAACCCATTATATGGCCTTGTGGAGAAAAAATGAATTAATTCATTAATAATTTACTTCTGAATTTTTCATTTTAAGTTATGTAATTTTGTATACTTTATTTAATGCGTTTATTATTTATTTATTCCTTTAAAAATGGTAAAAATACAAACTAATACAATTAATAATTAATAAATTGGTACACTAAAAAGAGTAAATGTTTAAAAATGAGATGAGCGGCCCACAGAATGACTAAATTCTTTATTAATTTACTTTTGAATTTTTCTTAAATGATGTTAATGTGTATATTTGGGTCAAAGACGAAAAATGGTTTAAGCATAAAAACATTAAGTGTAGTACTGCTTTAAATTGTTGTTGTTTCCCCCCCCAAAATTAAAAAGTTTTCGGTTAATTGCAATTTTGTTTTTGTTTTTCTGAGCAAAAAATAAATATCATACATTTTTCCGATTTACAGATAGAGACCCACTAAAATGTCATTCAGTGTAACAATCTTGTCAGGCATATTTACAACAAAAATCAATTTATGACATATTAAAAGACTAATTACGTTCACTCCAAATACTAATTAGTTGTAATTTTACATTTTTTAAATTTGCCACTATCCTAGGTTTTGCCCATTTGTCAGTAAGAATTTTTTACTCATTTAAAACACAATAAAATTTTATATGCTCTCTTATTCTTTTATATATTTTAATATGTACACGTCAGAATAAGCATGTTGTTTGAATTTTTACATAGATATTGTGTTACACTGAATGCCAATGTAACATTATTTCAACCAAATTTTGACATTTTATTCTCCAAAAACTTATTTGAAACCTTAAAAGTAGACACTTTCCTTACATTTAATGTGCTTTCTATGGATATAAAAGTACTTTTGTAAATTTCTTTTGATGCTTAACGTCTTTGACCCATTTATTTTGTGTGTCATTATTTATATTTATTTCTCATTATTCAAAACAAATCATTAATAAATGGGTAAATACAAAAATAAAGAGTATAAGAAATAAAAATAAGTCAAAAACTTAAATTAAAATCTACACAAATGAAAAGATGGCACTCTGGAGACCAGTCACCTACAGAATGAATGAACGAATGAATGCAAGAATAATGAACTAAAATACATAAATGCATTCTTCATTCATTTACTTTTGAATATTTCTTACTTATTTTTATATTATTTTTATGTGTATGTATTTTTGTAATGTATTCATTCATTACAAAAAAAAAATGTAAAAAAAAAAATTACATTCATTATTAATAAATTGGTACAGTAAATATATTAATAAAAAAAAGATACAAGAAATAATTTTGAAAACCCTGAAATGTATGACCATTTCCTTTTGACTAGTCGGTCTTATCAGGGTCCATCAGACCAGGATCAGATGCAATTTTATAGGGGCACTCACATAATATGGAATCATGTAATATTAATTATTTTTCTTTATTTTTGTGCTACAAAAGCAGGTCGTCACATCAGCAGTTGCCACGGGCCCCTTGCGCTCACTTTCTGTCTCTCAGCTAAAAATACACAGTGCTTCTGCAGCAGTAAACCATTGCAGTTTCGATGTTGGATAGTGCTGTGCTCATGGCACTGCTGACCACTGGTTCTGCTGTACTGAAGCTCAGACATGCTGAGAAAGGCCTTAATTAATGGAAAAAAGTGTGTGTTTGTGTGTTGGAGGTGTGCGTGGTGAGCCAGGCGGGGGATGATTTATTCCAGTGTCACCTTGACCCCTGACGCAGAGATACAGCTCAATTAAACAGGATTGGCCCCACAGCACTGCTTTCATCTACTGCCCGTGAGTTCTGCAAAACACGCACACACAAGGGGCCACATTCACTGGATCCAATAACATCCATATGGAGCGCTTTTCACCTCCCTCTGCCACCAAAAACCAAAAATGTTAATGACCTAAACCAAAATGGAGTAGCATGAAGAATTGATTCCTACAGGCTGTATTGTTTCTTCTGTGGTTCCTAATTGCTGTTCTAGGCTTCTGTTTCCAAAAACACTTTAAATCATTATCCAGAGATCTATAAAACTGGCCTCAAATCAGTGGTAGATCATGAAACAGAATCAACATGAAACCGAATTCGCAATCCTTTTACTTCCATAACGTGGAGCGTTTGCAAGTGAAATACGGTATTCAACGATTTAATCAGATTGATTTTCCTTTGCTCCTTTTTCTGCCATAGGCAACAGTGAAAAATACTTCCCCACTAAATCCTTCAATTAAATCTTGCAGTTAGATTGGATGAATCCATTGGGTGGTGCTGTGGAGACGTAACATCCATATATTTAGTAATTTCTAGTAATATCTTAATTTTTTTCATTAAATTTACTTTTAAGTAACTTTTAGGCTTTTTAAAAAATATATATTTTATTTATAATTTAATTTGTATTAAAATGTAAAAATGTTATTTAAAAACAAAAAAAATGAAAGAATGAACAAATGAATTAATATATGCCTTCATTATTAATGTTCTTTTGAATAGTTCTTATTACTTTAATTATTTTACATTAATTCTTTCATTTTTATTTGTGAATTAATTAAAAAATGTAAGCAATATAAAAAATAATACAATTAATAATTAATAGGCACTGAAGATATGCTGCTCACAATTAATTCCTTTTTTTACATTTTTAAATAAATATATAATTATGCATATTTTGTTTAAAAATGTAATTTAAAAGAAAATCAGTAAGGTAAATTAATAAAAAAAACACAATAAGTAATAAACATTTCAATTAGAAATTTAATGTTAACTTTTGATGAAAAACTTAATGAAGCCTGAAGAATAGACAACTTTCGTTTTTTTCACAATTTTGACACATAAAACCAAGCAAGTTAAAGTGGCTAGTCTGTTTACCTGCAAAAGCCTTGGAGATGTGTTCCTTCTTCCACTCCCAAGGTTGGTCGTATTCATCTGCGGGCCTCTCGTCGTCCTGCGGCAGCCTGCTCTCCCTCCCCTCCTCGGGCAGATCCGGCTGCCCTGGGACGCGCTCCTCATATGGGGTGTCATAGAGCTGGACCTCCCCTCTCCCCCAACCTCCTGCTCCACCACCAGCTCTCCTCTGCAGCTCTGCAACACCAAATAAACCAGTTATAAACTTTGTTCAACCCTAATCTGGCTCTGTTCTCCAAATTTCCATTTAAGAAAAGCTGGTACTGACCCCTTAAAGGAATAGTTTACCCGAAAATGGAACTTTTCTCATCCTCAGGCCAACCAAGATGCAGATGAGTTTGTTTCTTCATCAGGTTTGGAGAAATTCAGCATTACATCACTTGCTCAGCAATGGATCCTCTGCAGTGAATG